CTCGGCCATTAGGCAGAAGTTTTGAGCGCGAGGATATTTTGCTTGCATCCGTCAAAGTGGTAGTTGTAGAGCTCATAATCATCATCTTCCATATTCGACATCGCATCTTGGATCATCCCAATCACACCACCGCGCATCCCTCCGCATCCGTAGTCCAGGATGGCTAATCTCTTCCCAACAGGGACGCCGTCTTCGATGTAGGGAACATGGTTGGGCTCGCTGCAGATCAGTCCTACGATTCGCTTAATCAGAGCACCACCCTCGAGTCCCTCTAACATTTCCGCCGTGGACAAGTCAAGAATAGGAACGTTGTAAGCGAAGTGTGAACAGTCAAGCGCGTCTATGTGCTTGTGCACCAGCTTCACGAGGTCTTTGTTGTACACCTCATTGTGCATGGGGAAACTGACGGGTATCCGGGTGGTGTAGAGAAATTTCACCTTTTTTTTGAGTAGTATCTCCTCAATCATTGTCAGATCTTCTGGCATGCCAGAGAGAAGAAGTCCGTTTTGGCTCCACACCACGCCGACTCTTACGTTGCGGAAATCGCGTAATATTGGCTTAATGGTATTATTGAGAATTTTTGAACCACGTTTTCCGCTCACCGACATCATACATTTTACTCCAGCTAAGGAAATCCCAGAATTGACCTCTTTTAGGCCGTGCACGATGAAGTACAGCACATCAAGACCCCGGGGAATGTTTGTCAACATCTCCTCACGAGACGCGCTCATCGAGACCACAATCGCGGCAATATGCCCGAGGCTCACACCGACACAAAAAGTAAAATTCCAGGCGCCGTGGAGATATACGGATAAAACTTGCACGAGGACGCCGATTGTTTCATTCAGCATCGGTTGCGTCATGACCTCCTCATCAATGGTGTTGCCACCCTGCAGGAGACCTTGGATCCCAATTGAAGGTGGGACTCCGGTAATAGCGACAACTTTCTCCGCCCACCACTCACTAGCACTTTCCACCACCGAACTAAAGTCAAACTCAGCGTTATCATTTACAAGTTTTTTCAAATGAGGAATATTATTTTCAGCTATCGGCCGGAAGAAAGCGACTTGGGCGACACCTTCCGCGAGAGATGCCATGCTGAATTACGGAACCAAATAATACGAGATAAGGTGTGTGGCTGGTGCAGGTAATACAGTTTTAATATGTAATCCGTGATCGTGATTCCGGAGCGAGGGCACTGTAGCTCGGAAGGAAACGAGGAATTCCCGCGAAAGGTGATATTAAGGAATTATACAAGATATAGAATGATATAGTTGGATTAGGAGCTGGGTGTTGCCTTCAACATGGGCTCCACCCAGCTCGGGGACTAGCCTAATCTAGGACCCCCAGGCAAAGAATAGGGCCGGCTGGATAGGAGAAGATTTTCCTGGGGTGCGCTCAGGCGCACAATAATAGAAGAGGGAGTGACCTCGAGCTCCGGGGTACGGGGTGGTAAACTTTGATTAAGTCCTACTCGGGCGTACTCAGGGGGACCTCGGGTGACTTCCCCTAGGTCCCGGGCGAGTTCCTGGCACCAAATTTCTGGGCCGGTCGGTCGGTCGGTCGGTCGGTCGGTCGGTCGTCGTCGTCGCCGTCGCCGCCGCCGCCGCCGCCGCCGCCGCCGCCGTCGTCGTCGTCGTCGCGCGCGCGGGGGAGTTTCGAACCTAATTCAGTCGCAGGGCGACCGTAGAGAGGTGATGAGCTGCCCCATGCTATCACGGTATATGAACCCGGGGATGCAAAAATCGAGTGGGGGCGCGCCCCGCAGTCGCAGTGATCGACAGTCTCGCCGCAGAAGGCCGCCAGCGTATATATTTATATATACGGCAGCTGCGGTGACGTGAGGATAACAGAGACGCCGGTGTACCGCCACTCGCACGGCAGGGCAGCCCCACTAGGCTGCCTCCCTGTGCCGGGTTTTACTATCTCGTTAGGTTTGGGACCCAGCGCTCGGTCTCTCTGCGTAGACATGGAGTGACTTTTCGAGACCGCCGACCTTCGGAGCTCCACGCGCGTCGGGACTCGCCGACGTAGAAGGCCTAGAGGAAAGAGTGAACTCGGGCTTTGGGGTCTGGGGTGGTAAAATTTAAACCAAACCGACTGGGGCGTACTCGGGGGGACCTCGGGTGACTTCCCCTGGGTCCCGGGCTAGTTCCTGGCACCTATTTTCTGGGTCGGTCGGTCGGTCGGTCGGTCGTCGTCGTCGTCGCCGTCGCCGCCGCCGCCGCCGCCGCCGCCGCCGCCGCCGTCGTCGTCGTCGTCGCGCGCGCGGGGGAGTTTCGAACCTAATTCAGTCGCAGGGCGACCGTAGAGAGGTGATGAGTTGCCCCATGCCAGCTGTCACGGCATATGAACCCGGGGATGCAAAAATCGAGTGGGGGCGCGCCCCGCAGTCGCAGTGATCGACAGTCTCGCCGCGGAAGGCCGCCAGCAGGATTTTTTGCGCTCACGAACCCCGTCGTCGCTGCCCGGCGCAGCACGCGCGCTTTTCGTGCACCACCTGGCGCAAAACGGCGAGGTGCCGGCGCATCACATCATCGCAGCGTTATCCGTCGGTCGAAACGATGCAGTTTTGTACGATTTCGATGAAGTTTTCAATGATTACTTCAATGAACAACCCAAAACGTTTGTTCTTACTACGAGACGGGGTCCTCCAATTAAATTCACCGGCCGCGCTGAGCTTACGGCGCCCGCGGTCGGAAGCGGTTGGTGGTCCAAGTAAGCAAAATCTTACCGATGGCGACGCGCGGTGGAAAATTCCAGAGTGCTGGCGGGGACGAATGGAGAAATTTCTTAGAAAAATGTTCGAATTAAATTCGAGGGCCTGTTCCACGCGTCCAAACGCGTCGGTTTCTGAGGGCTTGGACCAACGCGGGTTAACTTGTCCTCCCCGGAACCCCTCAGCTCAAGTCAGCTCAAAGGTCACATAAAATCGTAGGAGGGTAGGTTAATGTTTCCCTTAACGGATTCTTGACTGTACCTAACCACCTGCGGTGGGCACGGCTTAGGTGGATTAAAGAAGGGGGTGGTAAAAAAAATCTAAACAAGAAAACATGTTTAAAACACTAACATTACGACGAGCAAAAAGACTTGGTGGAACATAGAAAAAGCCGTGCCCACGCTCGCGTGGTTAGGTTCAGCCAAGAATCCGTTTAGGGAAACTCCAACCTACCCCTTGAAATCTGCGACTTTACTTGACCTTAAGTGTGGGGGCTCAGTCATCCAACCTGGTTGATCACCCGGCACTTGGACTCGATTTCCCTTGGCACGGTCTTAGTGAACAAACAAATGCCCCCGCAAATTGGCACATTGCGTTGCCGTAAATGATACTGGTACCTTGTGAATCGGACTTGACATCACCGCCCTCACGTGCCCACTCGCACTAACAAAAAACTCCTCGTCGGTTAGAATGAGGTAATGTACAAGTTCCCAAAACCCAGGCGTCCATGTAAAGCGTATTGGGTTCAGATGAAATGTTGGGTATTGGCGTCTTGCGTCAACTTTGAACTTTGGGATCTGAAGATTCCCAAACAGTGCCAGGTACCTTGTCTTCGGTTTGATCCAGAGGAGCGGCAGTTGCAATGGGAGCACCTACGCGCAGCACCTTGTCATAGATTCTACAGGTCAACGCTGAAGGCTTGCGTTCACCAATATCGGTAATCTCTGCCGGAGACGAATTATTGCTTCCGCATAGATCTGTGACAAATAGATGTTTAACAATTAGATTCCAATAAGCGCCGCATAAAAAACCGTATTCTGTGAAATTCCAAGCGGTCGACCACTTGACCGGATATCATCGCTGGTGAAGCCGCCCGATATAGTAATCACACTCGCGGGCAAAACGATCGTCGTCAACAGGACAAGCTGGTAACCCAGGGTGATCAAAATCGCTGCAAGTTGAACGAGCTTCCTTCGGGTCGCCGGTATTAAGCTGCCGGCACAGACCTGATGTATGCACTTATTCGACGCGAGATCGACGGGCACGCCCCTTACGAGGGCAAACATCGGAGGCGGAATACGCTCAGTCGGCTCCGGCCGCCGCGCGAGGCCCAGTTTTCACATGGCGTGGGTTTTGTACTGGTAATCTTCGATTAGCCAGGAAAGTATCGGCTGCGGATACCGGGAAAGTGAATAAAGCAATGCAAACCAAGGGGGTACCACACAGGGATGATGCAAACCAAGGCGGTGAACCCAAAGTAAATAAGCCGCTCTCGGGCAGCCCGAGCCACAGAATCGCCTGTGAAGTCTTTGCTGATTTCGACAAGAGACGCTCCAGCGCTCTCGCCTAATAGAATGGTAAAAAGATATGGAATGATACATATCATTCGGGTTCAATGTCAGCATATTAGCCAAAATGCTGACATTGAACGCAAAATGCTGACATTGAACCCAAAAATCTTAGGCTGTTTATGTTGAATTTAAGTGCGGGGAACACACTGTAACCCGCGTTACACCGATACGGCTGTAACTTGACTGGCTGCTGCTGAGGATCCTTGAATTCTATTCCAACCGGATCCGAATCTACAGGGCGGAGCATGTCGTCGAACATGCCCCAACAGTACGCCACCATCTCACGCAACGTCCTGCAGTCTTGCTCAGACAAATCTGGGTTGTCAGTAACATTGATAATCTTCATCACGTCATCCAGCTCTTTGTCATTGCTTTCTTTACTTTCATTTTCTCAACCAGCGCTTGGTTATTCCCGAGGTCTTTGGGCTGTAACGGCTCTGGTAGACCTCGCTCGTCTCTCTTCGCATCTTTCCATGGTGGGTACTTATGATCAGTATGATCAACACCCATTTCACTATCTTCATTCGTTCGAAAGACTTCACTCTGCTCTTGTTTCTCGTTCATCCCAATGATAGCCCCATTAGCTACTGAATCCATCATAAACATAGCGAACCTTTGCGACTGCCGGTTTCGGTAATCCGAGTAATACGTGAGTGACCACATCTGACATCCAGTCCACTGACCAATTCCGCATCCGTCTCGCCTATCGAGTGAGGTTAAGATGCCCCACGTAACGTGTTCCTGATCTGGTTCCTTCGTACTGATGTGTCCGCCCACATGAATCCCTCCTGTGATGCATGTGGCTTCTCCTAAGTCATGGGTATGCTTCCGGATTCTGTGGTCGGCAGAGGCTATGGTAACGCGCACGTTTGTTAGCTTGCTACCAATAGCTCGGCCTTGATCTGCTTCCATAAAGCTATCTCGTAGAAACATCCACAGTTTTCCGATTGCCAGTTCATTCATACATGAGTATGGTACTCCCGTATTGCAGTTTATGCCCATCACAAAGGAAATACCAGCTCCATCCTCGGGGAAGCTAATACGCTTCAACCTCTGATACAGCCGTTTGTTGCTAAATATATTCTGGATCAGCAACTGATCCACTCTTCTCATCCATTTCATAGGCATGCTTTTGCCTTTAGGTTCAGTTATGACAACCGCTGATGTAGCCCTGCCACTCGACTTGGCATAGTCATATGGTGTCAATTGACTTTCTTCTACCTGTATAATCTCTTTCTTGCGTGGGAAGTGCACCGACAGATTCTTCTGCTTCTGCTGCACTACCTCACATGGCTCATTGGTGTCTTTCATCATTGCTCTTTTCCCTATCGTCACACCAGATCCACGTAACTTAAACGCTGGGGACCACGGTACGTGTCTGTCGTTTAATGGGTCCCACTCTGGGTGATATGCTTCTATCTGATCTGTTTCTTGGTCATCCATGTGCGACAGCGCTGTTCTTGCACTGTCTGCCATTAACATCTCTTCTATAGTGTCGTATTCAGTAGCATAGCCCAAGGAGCGGAATGTAGGCTCGCAAGGTGATCGCCAAGCGCATTTTGGTTGTCTTAATCACACTCGCGTTCTGACCTCGATAGTCGCCATTCTTCAGACCAGTGTGTTACCCATACTAAAATCCAACACTTACTACCCAATATTTTTTGCTTCAATTGTAGCGTTTGCTCTGATATGCGCAAATGATGTATTGTTAATATAAATTCTACGCTTATCATCCCAAATAGCGCAGGCGCTATAGCGATAGCGCAATCTCCTTAGGGTGCTACCTTCAGAGTTTCCTTGGCTGAGGTACTAAACCACTCTCCGAAAACGGTGCCTCCGACAACCAGGAGACGGCACTCGCCGGCGTCTGTCGACGGCGTGCTGGCGGTGTGGTCACTTATCTTGACCCCGCGATTTTAACTTAAGGCAAGTGAAAAGAGACCTATCCCATGCAAAGATCGTATAACGCATTGGGAAGCACTTGTAGGATTCACCATCCATTCTGCAGCTATGCCGTCGTTCTCTTCGGGCGATCGATTCGACAATATAGATGATATGGACCCATCATATGAGGTTCGTAGTCGAAACTTCGCCAAGGAACAATAACAAATTCATGACTAGCAGGCATCGATCGCGAACAACTCAAGGTCGAAGTGTAGGGAGCGAAGTTGCCGTTGTGCGATTGCCCGTGGTACGCCTCGTATCGGCAGAAAGATGAAATGTTCAAAAACAAGCTGGTATCATGTTGAGTGCATCTTTGAGCAATTCTTGCGAGGGTCGTGGCAACGAAAGACAATTACGACGCTCAATGACGTGAAAAATATTCATGTGCTCACTCTCGAGCAAAAGTCTCAGCTACAGCGTCTGATTCAAGATCACAAGCGAACTAGATGCCATCCTAAATTGATTCCGGGCTGTTCCTCAAAAAAAGAATTCGGTCCACGACTGTATGCAGCAGTCACTCAGCTTGAAGCCCATTTAATTTCCTGGAACTCTGGAAACCTAATAATCCTCCTGCACTTCTCGAAGCGATGGGGATCCTCAG